AAGTCTGAGGCAGGAACCTGCCCTTGGAGCATGGACACACTGAGTCCTTGGTCGTCTTGCCAAGGACTGCACCCTCCCTGAGCTGTTTCCTGTGAGAATGAGGTTTGAGGCAGGAACCGGCCATCAGAGCATGGATGCACTAAGTCCTGAGTCGCCTTGCGAAGGACTGTGTCCTCCCAGAGCTGTTTCCCGTGAGGCCTGAGGGAAGGACCCACCCTTGGAGCTACAGGATCACCTAGCAGCAGTCAATCCTGGGTTGCTGAGCTGGAGGCCGTGGTGTGGTAGAACTCTGGGTCTGGCCCAACAGAGGGCATGGCCAGCCTTCAAACCAGACCCTGACAGGAGGGAGGAGGCAGCCCCATTCCTCACAGAATCAACAGGTGGCCAGCTTGCTGTCAGTGGCCTGCCAGCCAGGAACCCCATTCACCTGCACCCCAGACCCTGACAGAAGAGAGGAGGGAGCCCCATTCCTCATGGAATCAACAGGTGGCAAGCTTGCTGTCAGGGGCCTGCCAGCTAGGAATCCTATTCACCTGCATATATGTATAAAGTTTTAATACATTATATTAGAGGTCGTGGTGGTACTGTTTTACCCACAGCATCTACAGGAATTGCTGCACATTTACTTCTCGGTGGAAGGACCTTTCATTCCCAATATAAATTACCAATTCCATTAAATGAAACTTCAATTTCTAGACTCGATATCAACAGTGAAGTTGCTAAAACTATTAAAAAGGTCCAACTTCTCATTATTGATGAATGCACCATGGCATCCAGTCATGCTATAAATGCCATAGATAGATTACTAAGAGAAATTATGAATTTGAATGTTGTATTTGGTGGGAAAGTTCTCCTTCTTGGAGGGGATTTTCGACAATGTCTCAGTATTGTACCGCATGCTATGCGATCGGCCATAGTACAAACGAGTTTAAAGTACTGCAATGTTTGGGGCTGTTTCAGAAAGTTGTCTCTTAAAACAAATATGAGATCAGAGGATTCTGCTTATATTGGATGGTTAGTAAAATTGGAGATGGCAAACTTGATAGCAGTTTTCATTTGGGAATGGATATTATTGAAACCCCCTGTGAAATGATTTGTAATGGATCTATTATTGAAACTACCTTTGGAAATACTATATTTATAAATAATATTAAAAAATATATCTAAACGTGCAATTCTTTGTCCAAAAAATGACCACGTTCAAAAATTAAATGAAGAAATTTTGGATATACTCGATGGAGATTTTCACACATATTTGAGTGATGATTCCATTGTTTCAACAGATGATGCTGAAAAGGAAAATTTTGCCATTGAATTTCTTAATAGTATTACTCCTTCAGGAATGCCATGTCATAAATTAAAATTTAAAGAGGGTGCAATCATCATGCTATTGAGAAATCTTAGTAGTAAATAGGGTCTTTGTAATCACACCAGGTTTATTATCAAAAGATTAAGACCTAACATTATCGAAGCTGAAGTATTAACAGGATCTGCAGAGGGAGAGGTTGTTCTGATTCCAAGAATTAATTTGTCCCCATCTGACACTGGCCTCCCATTTAAATTAATTCAATGACAGTTTCCTGTGATGCCAGCATTTGCAATGACAATTAATAAATCACAAGGACAAACTCTAGACAGAGTAGGCATATTCCTACTTGAACCCGTTTTTGCACTTGGTCAGTTATATGTTGCTTTCTCTTGAGTTCGAAGAGCATGTGATGTTAAAGGTAAAGTTCTAAATACGTCATCACAAGGGAAATTAGTCAAGCACTCTGAAAGTGTTTTCACTCTTAATGTGGTATATAGGGAGATATTAGAATAAGTTTAATCACTTTATCAGTCATTGTTTGCATGTGACCTCACCCACTGTGTCATCACCCACTGTGTCCACACCCACTGTGTTTTTATGTCATGTTTTTGTTGTTTTCATATTATGCCTCTATTGTTATATCCTTTTGTTACTGTTTATTTATTAATAAATTATTATTTTCATACACATTTTACTAATTATCTTTCATCTCTCACACTTCTATTATAGAGCAAGGGCAAATAGCAATATTAAAATATTTCCTCTAATTAATTCCCTTTTAATGTGCAAGAATTTTGTGCACCAGGCCACTAGTTTATATAAATAAAAGGCCCGTGGCCATCACACCATCACACCATCACGCCATCATGACCAAATGAGCCGCTGCTCTTGTGGCAGGCAGGGCGGGGCAGCGAGCTACGAGTGGCAGAGGGCTATAAGAGGAGGAGGGAGAGGCGATGGGCAAGGAAGCCAGCTGAGGCAAGCAGAAGCAAGCTACTCACTCACAATTTCATGCACACTGGGCCTCTAGTAAATAAATAAAAATAAAATAATGAATCTCCCGGAGCTCTGTTTAACCTGTTGCCACTGACAAGATGTTCTTTGGATTCAGGCCTCAAAGAGCAGGGTGTTTCCACTCTGCAGTGACAGGCATGGGCAGGAGGCACTGCTCACAGAACCAGCAGACCCACTGGTGCCTAACCCACTGTGACCTCACCTACTATGTCCTCACCCACTGTGACCTCATCCACTGTGTCCTCACCCACTGTGTCCTCACCCACTGTGTCCTCACCCACTGTGTCCTCACCCACTGTGTCTACACCCACTGTGACTTCACCCACTGTGACCTCACCCACTTTGTCCACACCCACTGTGAGCTCACCCACTGTGACCTCACCCACTGTGTCCACATCCACTGTGATCTCACCCACTGTGACCTCACCCACTGTGTCCTCACCCACTCTGTCCACACCCACTGTGAGCTCACCCACTGTGACCTCACCCACTGTGTCCTCATCCACTGTGGCCTCACCCACTGTGGCACCACCGGCTGGCAGGCCCCTGCGTCTTCCTCCTCTTTCTCTCAGTCTTACTGCCTAGTCCCCACGCCCACTTAATCCAGCCCGTGGTCGCCTGGGAGGGCCAGGGAGGTCTGGGTTCTCACAGTTCCCTCCAGTTTTGTCTCCAGAGCCCTGGTCAAGCCTGAGAGGAAGACAGCTCCACGCTTGGCCAGGAAGGAGGCATAAAGGAGCTGGAGGGGGTCCTCTCACTAAAAATTCATCAGAGGGAAGGAAGCAGAGATCTCCGCTCAGTCAGCCACTCTCAAGGGTCCCCGTGGGGCTCAAGGCCCCCCAGAGGCCTGGAGAATTCAGACCACCTCTATTTTTTTAAAGCAATCCGGTTTCTTTTTAACATTTTTTATTTATTTATTTTCGTTTTTGAAAGAGAGAGGAAGGGAGAGAGAGGAAAACATTGATTTGTTGTTCTATTTATATGCATTAATTGGTTGATTCTTGTATGTGCTCTGACTGGGGATCGAACCTGCAACCTTGCTGTATCAGGATGATGCTGTAACCAACTGAACTGCCCAGCCAGTGCCAATTCTATTTTTTAAATATATTTTGATTGATTTCAGAGAGGAATGGAGAGGGAGAGAGAGATAGAAACATCAATGATGAGAGAGAATCATTGATCCGCTGTTACCTGCACACTCAATACTGGGCATCAAGCCCACAACCTGGGCAAGTGCATTTGACCGGAATCGAACCCATGACCCTTCAGTCCGCAGGCCGATGCTCTAGCCACTGAGCCAAACTGGCCAGAGCTCAGACCACCTCTTGCTTGTCTCCAGCCACTTGGCTTTACCCCTCGGCAGGGAGAAGCCAGGAGCACTGAGCTCAGCATGGCGATGCAGAGGGCTGGCCCAGCAGCCCACCTGGCCAGTGTCACCTGGGGAAGGGAGTCTGTGCAATCTCCTGGTCTGAGGCCCTGTAGCACTTGTCGTAGGACTTGTTCATTCAGGAAAGCATGGCTTGTCTCTGGAAGAATGAATGACAGTGGATCAACAGGCCAATTTCCAAATTATATACCATGATGAACCTCCAAAATGGAATAAGCAAAATACATCTTAGGTGGCATGCATGTTGTTGGCCATGCATGTTCTGTGCTTCATGCCAGTCATAGCTGACATACATGTCATAAATAACGGGCATGTCCTATGTGGCCTATATTGTAAACGACATATATGTCACGGTATGTTTTAGCATGTTATAAACAACGCTCTAGGAGCAAATTGTTCCTGGTTTAGCGGGACCACAAGTAAACAATCTTGTTAGGCTAGTGTGTGTTAGACACAGAGGCTGCCTGTGCTGCTCTGCTTTGGAGGTGCTCACTGTGCGAGCTGCCAGAGGACAGGGTCCCTTTTCCACCTCTTTCTAGGAGGGAAAGGGCCGCTCTCAGCATCCGTGGAAATTACCAAGCCCACCGTCCAATGTTCTCATCAAGGTGCCTCTCCACCTGAAGTGCATGACGGCTCTTAATGTCCAACATCATCGCTGGTACTGGGCCTTTCTCCTTTTTGTTTCTCCATTTTGTTTTTTTGATCCTGGTCATCCAGGAGGACATTCGTCATGACATTCCCAAAAGGAGGTGGTGGGCAGAGGGAGATGGGACCCAGAAAAGAAGCTTCCAGCCCAGCCTGTCCGCCCTCATCACATGTTGACGTTCCAGTTTCATGGAAGAACAAAGAGAATCTTTCAGTCTCAAAATAAAAGCATCATTCCAAGGCAAATCTTATTCCCAAACCCCAGAAAGGCAACATGGCCCATGGCGGGTGATGGAGAGCAAGAGGAAACCCTGTCCACCTGCCTCTGGGGGCAGCACCCCTGGGTCCTCATCAAACCCCAAGGACAGAGGACTCTCAAACCCAAGGGTGACCGGGTCTCAGGAAAGGAGGGAGGGAGGGAGAGTGGGTCAGGACAGGACCCCTTGAGCATCCTTCAGTCCTTTCCCATCTGGGGTCGACACTAGGATGACAAGGTCAGGCATGCAGCCCAGCGTCCCAGCTGCACCCTTATATCCAGACTCCATGCAAATGGGGCTCTCCTCCTGCTCATAAAAGAGGGCCCGGCCCGGCATGTTGGGGAGACACCCAGAACCCAAGTGCCTGAGACAGGACCCCAGCGGCTCCACTATGGACTTGGTGCCAAGCTGCGTTTTCCTCCTGATCATTTTTCAAGGTCATGCTCAGGAGTGGGGAGCGCTGAGACCTGTGCCTGTGCCTGTTTTTGCTTCCGTGTGACTCTAAGTCCACCTTGTGTCTCTGTGTTTGCAGGTGTCCAGTGTGAGGTGCAGCTGGTGGAGTCTGGGGGAGGCTTGGTGCCACCTGGGGGGTCTCTGAGACTCTCCTGTGCAGCCTCTGGATTCACCTTCAGTAGCTCCTGGATGGACTGGGTCCGCCAGGCTCCAGGGAAGGGGCTGGAGTGGCTTGGTGAAATTAATCCTGATGGAAGTACCACAAACTATGCCAATGCTGTGAAGGGCCGATTCACCATCTCCAGGGACAACGCCAAGAACATGCTGTATCTGCAAATGAACAGCCTGAGCGCCCAGGACACGGCTGTGTATTACTGTGTGAGAGACACACAGTGAGGGGAAGTCAGCGTGAGCCCAGACACAAACCTCCCTGAGAAGGTAACAGGGCTGTGCTGCAGGGGGCGTCCAGGACACCAGGGGTCGCTCAAGACCAGTACAGTCCCCAGAACAGGAGCAGGTGGAGAGTTAAGCAAAGACACAATTTCCTGCTCTGCCTTAAATTAACTTTGCTCCCAGGCTCAGCCACGGAGCTCACAGAAAGCCCTTTCCTATGTCTAGGTTTAGGGATTGTATTTGTGAATAAAAAAAGGAGGCTCTGTCGTAATCTGACAAAATTCAGTGACTGAAGGGAGACTCTGATCTCAAATTCCTATCTGGTTGAGGATTAACAAAACAAATTAAATAAATAAAGGAACCTTATTTTAATAAAACAGGACAGGAAGGAAATGGTAGGAGGAAACCCCGTCTTAGTACTGTTATCATAAAAAACACATTCAAATCTGTAAAGAATTTTGTGAGCTTATTTCAGCCAAACTGTTGACAAATGCCAGGATGCAGAACCTCCACAGACTGAGATAATGCTCCTAAGAATGGCAGGTTTTCCTATATTTTTATACATTGCAATCAAAGGAGGGACGTAGGTGGGTTACATGAAAAAAATGGGCCAAGGCCTTTTCGAGTTGTCTCCACCTCACCCTGTCTACTTGAGGAAGGGACCATCCTGGCTCAGGTGCACAGTTCTTTGTTCTTATAGCCTCTTCCCTCCTCCCGCATTCGCTTTGCCCTGGGGACACTCAGTAACCCTTTCCAATAAAAGTAAACTTTGCTGGGGGTGGATCTCAGAGGCCTATTTCCTACACTGGGGAACTCCCTAAGCAGAACCTCGCTCTGTGACTCCTGTCAGAGCCATCATTCTTTTATTTATATTTTAAAATATTTTTTTTGTTAATCCTCACTGAGTGTATTTTCCCATTGATTTTTAGAGAGAGTGCAAGGCAGAGGGAGAGACAGACAGAAACATCTGGGAGATGTGGGAGAGAGAGAGATCGATCGGTTGCCTCTGCACACACCCCAACCAGGGCTGGGGAACCTGCAACCGAGGTGCATGCCCTTGATCAGAATCAAACCCGGGACCTTTCATTCTCCAGGCTGACACTCTATCCACTGAGCCTCACCTGCCAGGGCAGGAGCCATTGCTCTTTGCAGACTAACCACTGGGGTCACTTTAGAAGGAAAAGCTTCTATGCATCCACCTGGCCATTTGGTGTCTCGGCTGCTCCTGCCCCTGCTCCCTGCAGAGATGCCCTCTAGTCCCCAGCTCCCTGTGCTCACCATGAGGACACCTCATCAGGAGGCAAAACACAAGTCCAGGCCTATGTCCTTCCCCTGTGAGTCCCCTGGGCTGAAGACCCTCATCTGCGCCCTCTGTTCCCAGGTTCCCCAGTTGCCCAGCTCTGGGAACCACATGGTGTGTGTCTGAGACACAAGTGAAGCACAGTAACCTCCATCTTGTACAAAACTGCTGTTTGAAATTCTCTGCTATTGCTAGATAGTCCCTAGTCCTATAAACTCTGTCATTGTAAACTCTGTCACTTTAAGACAGTCTCTTATTCTATAGAATGACTTTGTTTTTCGTTCAAATAATAGAAAAAGATAAACTTAACTGTCTGACCTTGCAAGCTAGCCATCTAAAGGGGCTGATACACTGATACTGATATTAATTCACACATTCTGCCAAGTGTTTGTTCATCCAAGGTTACAGGTGTCTATATAGATATGATATGTACTCAAGGTTACAAGCTGTCTTACACAAAAAACTAGAAGGATATAAAAATGAAATACTCCCTCCTGTGTTTGCTCAGAATTTGACAGAGGTAATTTGCTCTGAATCTGCATGCAATAAAGATGACTCCTAACTAATTGGCTTATTAGGCGTCTTGTCCAGCTCCCTGATTTGCGATATAACACAAGCACCTGGTGTGTGACCCCAGGACACGGGGACAGGGCCTCTGTCTTCTTCACTGATTTGTCCTTGTTGCCTAGAGCAGTGGTTGGCAAACTGCAGTTCGAGAGCCACATGCGGCTCTTTGGCCCCTTGAGTGTGATTCTTCCACAAAATACCACGTTCGGGCACGCATGTAGTGTGATTGAAACTTGGTGGCCCATGCGCAGAAGTCAGTATTTTGTGGAAGAGCCACACTCAAGGGGCCAAAGAGCTGCATTTGGCTCGCGAGCCGCAGTTGGCTGACCACTGGCCTAGAGGGATGCTGGAGTGTCACAGGCCCTCAGTGTTGGTGGAATGAATGAATGAATGAATGAATGAAGTCCAACCAATTAATATTGGTAAAGAGGCTCTGGAATTGGTGTAAGGTCCACAACGCCCACACCCAGGGGCTCCCCTCTGTGCACCCTTGTCTGTGTCCACTGCCTTGGGTCGCATCTGCCCAAGGACCTGGCTCTGGAGAAATCTGGCTGCAGAACTGGGATCCATGCCTCAGTGGGCTGTGCGCACCCGGGGCCTTATATCAGAGAGTGACGCTCAGGCAAATGCCAGGCGTGGCTTCCTGTATAAATACAGCCTCCACTGGGGCTGCAGAGCCTGCTGCGTCTAGCTGACCCAGGGACATGGCTGTCTCCTTCCTCATCTGCCTTCCCATGCTGGGGCTCCCCTGGGGTCAGTGTCTGGGGACCTGGGGGTTCACAGCCGTGTTCACAGAGATGTGGACTGAATTAAACTTGTTGCTTCCTTCTGTCCCAGGTGTCCTGTCCCAGGTGCAGCTGCAGGAGTCGGGCTCCACGGTGGTGCAGCCCTCGCAGACCCTGTCCCTCACCTGTGCCATCTCTGGGGACAGTGTCTCTAGCAACACTGCCACTTGGGACTGGATCAGGCAGCCCCCAGGGGAAGGGCTCCAGTGACTGGGAAGGATCTACTTCAATTCCAAGTGGTACAGACGGTACGAGCCATCTCTCCAAAGTCGGTTAGTCATCGACCTAGACTCGTCCAAGAACCAGTTCCCCCTGCAACTGAGGTCCGTGACCACCGAGGACACAGCCTTGTATTACTGTGCGAGATACACATTGAGGGGAAGTCAGTGTGAGCCCATATGCATACCTCCCTGAGGGAGACAGCAGGGCTGGGCTGCAGGGAGCGTCGAGAACACCAGGGGGCGCTGAGGACCAGCACAGGCCCAGGACCAGGAGCAGGTGCAGACTTAAGCAAAGATAACATTTCCGGCTCTGTCTTAAAATAGTTTTGCTCCAAGCAACAGAGCTCACAGAAAGCCCTCTCCTATGTCTAGTTTTAGGGATTGTATTATGATCATAAAAGGGGCTCCTGATGGGTAGAGATCTTTTAGCCAAAATGGGGGCAGAGGTCACCTTTGCCCCAGATGGCTCAGCACAGCTTTGCCTAGGTGAGGAGACTTCTCCAATGATCCTGTCCCTAGCAGTGCCCCAGGAGGAAGAATGGAGACTTTATGCCCCTCAGTCAAAGGCCTCACCTTTAGAGCCTGAATTAGAGGAAGAATTTCCACTAGTCTGGGAAGAAGTAAATCCCCTAGGCCTGGCCAAAGACCATGCCCCGATACTAATTGACTTAAAGCCTGGAGCACAGGCTGTCAAAATTCGCCAATATCCAATTCCAAGGAAGGCACACCTAGGAATTCACGTCCACTTAGACCAGCTACTTCAGTGGGGACTCCTTAAAAGATGCCAATCACCATGGAATACTCCCCTCTTGCCTGTCAAAAAGCCTGGGACTATTGAATACCATCCCATATAGGATCTGAGGGCCATTAATGAGGTCATTATAACCTTACATTCGGTGCTGCCAAACCCCTACATGCTTCTAGGACTCATTCCATCAGAAGTGGAATGGTTTACATGCCTAGATCTGAAAGATGCCTTTTTCTGCCTCCGATTAGCCCCCTTCAGCTGTTATGCCCAGATTTCAAGATCCCCAAAAGACCATACCAGGGAGCCAGCCATGTCTGATGCAAAAGCAGAGGGTCCTTTATTTGAGCTAGCTCAATTCCCCCTCCTGGCCGACGCAGCGACAGGAAGCAGAGTGACACCACCGTGGGAAAAACAGGGTTTTAATAAGGGGTGGAGTGAGGGGAGGGGAGCTGACTGTGGGCCCTGCCAATTGGCCAGGCACAAGTCGGGTCTTGTTACACAGGATGTGGTTATTTCTATGGCGCGCACGTTTTTTTCTGAGTCCGTCATAACGTCTGTCCAGCAAGTCCACAAAATAAAATGGAAACACAAACAACTAAAGGGTCCCCCAAAAAAGTACAGCCTTCCAACTCCATGGAAGCAAACTTGAAATAGTCTTCCAACTCCATGGAAGCAAAAACCGAAAGCTAGACGATGGCTGTGCGCCAACCAGCAGGAGCGACCCGCCTTGTCTTAGATTGAGGGGGTTTCTACAGACCTTCCGACTCCGCAGAAGCAAAATTACACCTCTACAGATGGAGGGTCGAGACATCCCCCGACTCCTCCCGCCCTTGATCCCCCTGTGCGTCCACTTAGATCATTTCAGGCGATTACAGATTTTAGAAGTGAGCTCACACAGGACAGATACAAAACACACAATGACACAGACACCTACCGCGGTCAGTCAGGCCCTCTGGACTGGGGTTTCCTCAGTGGTGTTGGGGATCCCGGACGAGCCCCCAAATGTTATGCCCAGATTTCAAGATCCCCAAAAGACCATACCAGGGAGCCAGCCATGTCTGATGCAAAAGCAGAGGGTCCTTTATTTGAGCTAGCTCAATTCCCCCTCCTGGCCGACGCAGCGACAGGAAGCAGAGTGACACCGCCGTGGGAAAAACAGGGTTTTAATAGGGGGTGGAGTGAGGGGAGGGGAGCTGACTGTGGGCCCTGCCAATTGGCCAGGCACAAATCGGGTCTTGTTACACAGGATGTGGTTATTTCTATGGCGCGCATGTTTCTTGATTGTCATTGGTTAGTTTAAAGAAATTCCCGGGCGGTGGCCCAGCAGAGGCCTGGGCTTCCGGGAAGAAGGTACTTTCCTGAGCACATGGCGGCTGCCCCCAACATGGAGGATACGGGGCAAGATGGAGGGGCATAGCCCTCGCCCTTTCACAGCCAGCCCCTTTTTGCTTTTGAGTGGAAAAACCCAACTATGGGGGCCAAGGAGCAGTTCACCTGGAACAGACTTCCACAAGGATTCAAAAATTCCCCTACTCTTTTTAGTGGAGCACTAGCATCTGATCTGTCTAAGTTCTGAGGACAGGACTTGGGGTGTGTTCTACTTCAATATGTAGACAACCTCCTACTAGCCAGCTCCACATGAGCTCAGTTCTGGGAGGGGACACGAGCCCTCCTGAGACTGTTAACTGAAACAGGTTACAGAGTGTCCAAGAAAAATTCACAGATTTGTCAGAATGAAGTCAAGTATCTAGGCTTCCAAATCACCCAAGAGAAATGAAGGCTAGGGACTAAAACAAAGCAGGCAGTATGTGCCATCCCAGTCCCTAGCACCCGGCGGCAGATTCAGGAATTCCTGGGAGCAGTAGAGTTCTGTCGAATTTGGATCCCAGGGTTTTCAGACCTGGCCAAGCCTCTCTATGAAGCTTTAAAAGAGGAAGAGAAGGCACCCATTGAATGGGGCCCCGAGCAGGAGAAAGTCTTCATCAGCATAAAGGCAAAGATCACTGAGGCCCCAGCACTAGGGCTACCAGATGTGACACGCAACTTTAATCTCTTCTTACATGAGAACGGCAGGGTAGCCCTAGGACACTGATGGCGAACCTTTTGAGCTCGGCGTGTCAAAATTTTGAAAAACCCTAACTTAACTCTGGTGCCGTGTCACATATAGAAATATTCATAATTTTTTTTGATATTTGCAGCCGTAGTAAAAAAAAATATATTTATATATATTTTTTAATTTCTTTATTGGTTAAGGTATTACAAATGTGTCCTCATTCCCCCAGTAACCCCAAACCTCCCCTGACCTCATGCTCTCACCCCCCTGTTGTACGTGTCCATTGGTTTGGCTTATATGCATGCATACAAGTCCTTTGGTTGATCTCTTCCCCTTACCCCCACCCTCCCCTACTTTCCCTCTGGGGATTGATAGTCTGATAGCTGTTTCTCTGTCTTTGGGTCTGTCCCTGTTCGTCAGGCTATGTTGTTATCTATATTCCACAAATGAGTGAGATCATGTGGTATTTATCTTTCTCTGACTGGCTTATTTCACTTAGCATAATGCTCTCCAGATCCATCCATGCTGTTGCAAATGGCAAGAATTCCTTCTTTTTTACCACAGCGTAGTATTCCATTGTGTAGATGTACCACAGGTTTTTAATCCACTCATCTGCTGATGGGCACTTAGGCTGTTCCAAATCTTAGCTATGGTGAATTGTGCTGCTATGAACATAGGGGTGCATATATCCTTTCTGATTGGTGGTTGTGGCTTCTTGGTATATATTCCTAGAAG